GGACATAGAATAGATCATTACAGATGGAGCTTTCAAGTGGTATTTCTTCTAATCCATGTATAGAGCCAAAAGCAGCAAAGGTCTCATTGTGGCTCGAGCACAATAGCCTGTTCTATGCCACTTGTACGTCTTGTTTTGTTTTTGTTTTTTTTTTCCCCGAGGGAACTAGGTAGATGGTTTGGAAAGTTTGCTATAAAGACTGAGCTGGTACTGGAGGAGAAGTTAGGGATCGTTCTGAGCATGTTTTTAAACTAAACAGGCCATAACCGAACAAAGGGAAACGAAGTAAGAGAAGCTGGAGATAAGGAACAATGCAGTGAAGTGGCATGGATAAGAGCTTGTTTACTGAGCCACGATGAAGTAAGGTTATGTAGTCAAGTCTTTCTTGGCTGTTAATCTACTTGGTCCTTGAGCTCAGGTAGTTTAACAGTGATTTCTCCACATGTCCTTGCTTTAGGAGTCGGAGAAAGTGTTGGACCCCAACGAAAATGCAAAGAATGCGCACAGGAAAACTAATACAGAGACTTATTTTGAAGAAAAAAACAGCAGAATGCAAGGGCAAGAGGAAGAAGAACTGCTCAGCCACGTTCCAATGCAGCATACAACTTGGGTCAACAGGTTAGGTGAATCTATTTGAAATCATAAAAGACATGGCGACGTTAATTCATTAAGCCTAACCTGAGCTTGCAGGCTTGAGCTATGGCATGAACAAAGCTGCAAAGGTAATTGTTCTCGAAAAATAGTCAGGAAGGTCACAAATAGTTCTTTTTTTGTTCTCTGAGAAAACAAAATAAGAGAATGACAGGGAAATAGAGGGGGGGGGGGAAACTCTAGAAGGAACAGATGCAAAGGCGCACTTGATGAGCTGAGGTGCCCAGGGGAACACCTGAACATCCTGAGAAACTGAACAATCAAATCTTGAGCAGTCGCTCTTAACGAATAGACAGGTGTAATGGGTAATAGCTGTCTATTGGCTTGAATGCCTCTCCTGGTAAGAGTCATTTTTCTGATATATTGGAAGTGTCGCAAATTTGGCTGAAAAACAGTCATTACATAACAAAATAAACAATGTAGCACATATCAATTCGTCGATTTTGCTAACATCCCCATCAATTGGGTGATTTAGAAGTATCAATTTGTCAATTAATCAATTTATCAATCATAAATTAATGGTAAAGATGAGAGAGATCCTTAATGAAAATATCAGGAATTTGGTGTTCAATGAAAATGAAAATGCATGGAAGAAATGAGAGCATGCCAAGAAACATACATTAACTTGTAACAAAACAATGAGTATCTACACAATCAATCTAATTTCTTGAAGGGAAGATCAAGTCATAACTAGATGTCCTTTGTGAGATACATCTAGAATAAAGCTTGTATAAACTAATTAAACTGATAAACAACAAATAAGATATCATGTTAAATAATTATCAAATAATTCAAGTTGCCTGTCATTTGTTAATACATCGCAGAATCAGATAAGTTATAATCATCCTTCTTATACAACTTTAAATCTACCTCTATATAAGTAAGAACTGAATTATTGTTTTGAAGCCTGACTAAAAAAATAAGTTATTGGGTACACTTATATTAATGTAAGAGCATGTTATTTGTACAATGTTGAACCTAACTCTAGGAAAATATTGTTAGAGACTAAGATATTTCACATGATAAGAAGATCTGAGTCGTTGTTAGGACTAGTTAATTAGCTGGAGATCAAGTCTAATAATCATAATATTATCGACATACATAAAAAGCATAACGAACTCAAGGGCATGCCTGAGAAGAAATAAAAAATTGACTCTGAGTAAATATGAAATCTAGTAAAATGGCATAAAACTTCTTAAACCATGCTCAGGGTGCCTACTTTAAACCATAGAGAGATCTTCTCAAGCGAGAAATATTAACAAAAGAGGAAGGAAACAAATCAAGAGGAGGAGACATAAATGTTTCTTTCTTTAGGTCACCATGTAAAAATGCATTCTTTACATCCATGAGATGAAGAGAGCATCCTTTTAAAATAACAAAGACAATAACAGTGTAGCCAATATTCATTTTAGCTATAGAAACAAATATTTTCTCATAATCAAACTCATACTTCTATCAATTCCCAAGTGCCACCAAACAAGCTTTATGTCGTTCAATAAAGCCATCAAAAAGTAGCTTAATGGTACATATCAATTTACATCTAATGAGTTCAACTTCATTAGGATAAGGGGTTATATCCCAAGTATGAGTGTCTTGAAGAGCCTTAAGTTCATATTGCATAGCCTGACACCAACACTTTGAGTAGAAGCCTAGGAATAAGACTTAGGACAAAAGTATCATCAAGACTAACTTGAAAAAAGGAAGAAGAACAACCATAACAATTTAGGAGTTGGGAAACATTAGTAGATCGATGAAACGTATAGATGACAAGATCAAGTGGCAGTTTAGAGGAAAGAAGAGCTAGTGGATGACATCGTTAATACACAATACTTGGATTAAAACAAGAAAGAGTACTAGACACGTCATTAAACGAAGGAAACAAAATAGAGAAAGACACATAGTTAGGATGAGATGGAAATAAATATTTATATTGAAGAAAAATCACATTGCGAGAAATACAAAGCTTATTAGCATCCATTTTAACACATAAACCCTTTCATGAGAGTTGCTATAAATAAAAAAAGCACATTGAACAAATTGAGTAGTAAGCTTGTGATGTTCAACAAGAGGTATGAGAATAAAATAAACTCAACCAAAAACATGAAGAGAATTATAATCACGAAAAATACTAAACAAATAAGAATATGAATAATCAAGATGCAAAGTAGGGGAAGACAAATTATTAATCAAATATACAACCATATAGAAGGTTTCTAGCTATAATTTAGAAGGAACAGAAGACTCAGACATCAATGTACGAATAATATTTAAAAGATAACAATTCTTACGTTTAGATATACCAATCTATTGAGGGGAGTATAGACATGAATGCTAAAAGAGAATACCTTTCTATTGGAGAAAAGACTGAAAAGCAATAGACATGTATTCTCCTTTAGAATCGGAGCATAAGACCTTATTACAAGTAAAAAATTGGTTTTCTATATAAGTAACAAAAGTTTAGAAGGTTAAGAATACATCAATTTTAGAACAAAGAAAATAGAATCATGTGAATTGACTGTAATCATCAATAAATATCACAAAATAAATAAAGAAAAACACGACTCAAACCCTAAATATTAGAATAAACAATTTTAAAACATGTAAAAACACAATTAACCTCTAAAAAAAAAATGTAAGGATTTGTGTTTTCCAAGTTTTTAAGGAGTACAATCAAATGACAACAAAGAAAACTCATTTGTACTATTCAAATAGTCATGTTTCATAAGATGTTCCAGAATTAAAAAGTTGGAATAACCCAATTTCTTATGCCAAAACCAATTATTATTATTAGCAATGAGAGAAAAACCATTAGAAATTGAACGAGGAAAGAAAAAGGACCGAAGAGGAAAAAACATCCCACTTGAGGCCTTCTCGATATTTCTTGTCTTGATACTTGATCCTGCACATAACAAATAGAATGACTAAAATGAAAAAAGAACAATTTTCTTCTACTAATTGTCCCACAAAAATGAGATTGACAAATAAATCAGGAGACACAAACACAATAGTAAACGAAGACCTTAAATTATCAATCATTATAACATGACAAGTACTGTTATTTACTATTTGAATATGTTGTTTACCATTATACTTATAAACATTAAGTAAAGTAGTCGAGCTTCTAGTCATGTGATTGGAAGCAGTAGAGTCAATTAATCAAGGAGAAATAAGAAGATGTTTTTTACCTTAGAAATCAAGAATAGAAAGGGCATAAATAATCATATGTTGCTCGGGAGTAATATTTGAAGAAAAACTTAAAACAACAAGTTATGAAGAAGTTGTATGTAGAAAAATAGATTGAACAACAATATAAAGAGCAAAAATGGATCAATTCTGAGGGCAGACAAGACAATCCTTAATAATATGACCTTGCTTCTTGTAATAACTATAAAATTTCTTATTGCAATATTTTTCAAAGTGCTCAATTTCCATGCAACTATAACATTGTAGTGGAGATTTAAATCATCTTCTATCGGAAGTGACATATGCTTTATTAATCATTTTAGAACCATCAACATTATGAGTAAGGCTAAGTTGTGAGGTGAGATATTATTCTTCGAGTAAGAGTTCATTTAAACAAATTTTTAAAAATGGGATAAATTAGCAATTGATTAACCCACCTCATGCATTTTGAAACTCATATCATGAAACTCATATCAAAGTTTCATCAAGAATTAATCCTTCTAACTCTTGTAATGAATTACTTGAAGTACCTATTAAAGTTTATCTGGGAACATAAAAATTCACCAACCTAGAATAATTATTCTAGTATGGAATAAATTTACTCAATAAAAAAATTTCTTTGGTGACATTTTCTTAGCAATAGTAAATTCATGAAAATTATTGATCATATAAGGTTTAATAGAGCTAAGAAATTAGGAATCAATTTTGGCATCCCTGCATTTCTAAAGGGAAGCAATTTTTATATTTTTACATTTTCATGAATTAAGTTTCTTAGAATTTGTAGGAGCCATAAAAAACACTTATTCAAATAACCTCTCAACTCTTTTCTTTTCGTGAACATCCAAAACTGGAATTTTTGTCTAACATGGTTCTTGTCACTAAAGCGTTTAAATAATTTTTTTAACGTGGTCAACTCATAACATACAAAATAATGGTAGAGGGGTACAGTGAGTTTGACGAGCTTTTTCAAGCTTTAACTCATGCCAACATCCGAAGAAAAATGCAGGCCGTGGGGTTCGAACCCGCGCGTGCTTATGTATACAACATCTTTGATCACCCCACTTGAGCTCTCGGGCAAACCTGCCAACGTGGTCTCTATTTTTTATATATACCTATTTTCTAAATACACTATATAATTGATCTTTGATAATCGAAACACACAATTTTTGGTATTTAGCACACTATTAAAGGGAAAAAAAAAAAAAACCCTAGACTGGAATCGTAAAGAAATAGAGAGAGAATGGCGGAGCACTTAGCATCCATATTCGGGACAGAGAAAGACAGGGTGAACTGTCCATTTTACTTCAAGATCGGAGCCTGCAGACATGGTGATCGATGCTCAAGACTCCACACAAAGCCGACAATCAGCCCAACCCTGTTGCTCTCCAACATGTACCAGAGACCTGACATGCTCACTCCTGGAGTGGATCCTCAGGCTCAATCGCAGTCCCTCGATCCCCGGAAGATTCAAGACCACTTTGAGGATTTTTATGAGGATTTGTTTGAAGAACTCAGCAAGTATGGTGATATTGAGAGCTTAAATATCTGTGATAATCTTGCAGACCACATGGTACTTTCTTCTTCTTCTTTTTTCTCTTTTTTTTCTGAATTAAACAAAGTAAAATCGTAGAATTAATTTAATGGGTTAGCTGTTTATTTTTTTTGGACTTGCTGTGCAAGCAGGTGGGTAATGTGTATGTCCAGTTTAGAGAAGAAGAGCACGCTGCTAATGCCCTTCGCAATCTCAACGGAAGGTTTTATGCAGGTTATTAATATTCATAATCCCTCCCTTTTTTTGTGAGTTTTTGTTTATTGTTATTCTTGTATTAAACGTATAACTATCATTTTAATTTTAACGGTTGTAAACAATTCCTTGTTAATCATTCAACTTTCAATTATCTTTTATGCATTTGATTTTCCTATTTTAAATGTTTTCCCAGGTTTGTTTTGGTTCTGCTTCTGCTCTAAGTATTAGTCGGAAATAGCTTACCTATATGATATTTCGGTTGTGTTTTAAGAAGAGTTTGATATGGAGGCACATTTTGATATTTTCATGAACCCTCAACATGCCAGGGCGACCCATCATTGTTGACTTTTCTCCTGTCACGGATTTCCGCGAAGCTACATGTAGGCAATATGAGGAAAATGTTTGCAATAGAGGTGGCTACTGCAACTTCATGCATCTTAAGAAGATTAGCAGGTGGCTTTCTCAGCGTAATTGTTTATCCAGCAGATATCCCAGTAACTCAGGGACTTGGTGGTCTAACCAATTTTTTCATTGTTGGTTGTAGGGAATTGAGGAGGCAGTTATTTGGGAGGAACAGGCGAAGACGTAGCCGCAGTAGAAGCCATAGTCCTGATAGGCACCGTGGTTATGAGGAGCGTCCACATGGTGGCCGTGGTTTGAATAGGAGAGAGGATGACAGGGAGCATCACAATGAAAGGGGCAGGAGGCCTAGAAGCCGAAGTCCTGCACGCAGGGGAGGACGAAGTAGCCCTGGGGGGAGGAGAAACAGGAGTCCTGTCAGAGAGAGTAGTGCTGAAAGAAGGGCTAAGATTGAAAAGTGGAACAGGGAAAAGGAACAGACAGAATCTGGTGGTAGAGGTGATAGCAGAAACCCTGAAAATGACAGGGATAACAGTGACTTCGCTGAGAATGGTGGCCATTATGATGATGCCCAGCACTAGTAGGAGCTTGATGGATACTAGGGACCTACCTGGAAACGTCTGGTTTGTCCCTTGCTTCCCACTGCTTCATGTTTGTTTAATACAAAACTCATTATCTTGGTCAAAGAAATGCTGCAACTTTATTTTTATGAGACAGCCCATTCAGAAAATATACCTCACTACCATTTCCACTGTGCAGGTGGAGTACAGGTTCAGTGTCTTGTGTTATGAAAGTAAATTCAATTTCTTGCCCCTATCACCATCTTAAATTGAAAGGAAAGGAAACGGAATGAACTAAAAAAAGAAACAACAAAGGCATAGAATATATTTAGATCCTTCTAAGATCTCTCCTTTTATACTGGAGTTGATTGTATATGCATGTTGGTGCTTGTTATTTCCACTGTTCAAAATTTATTTTATCAAGTAAGATACCTGATTTTTGATGTAGATTTTAAGCTGAAGTACCCGCTTTGTGAGTGTTGTATCATAGTGGAACTGTTTCTGGAGTAAATTCAAAACCTCAAAGGTTGATAGGTACATTGATAGTTCAATCTCTTTTATACAAGAGGTTTATTTTTAAAAATAATTAAAATTGTTTTTCCTGCTTTAGCAAAACCTTCCAAACAAAATAACCTGTTTTAATTGACTGCTCTCTAAAACCACAGAGTATTGTTTGCTCAGAGATGTTTTGAAGGTCTATACAACTAATCCTTGTTAAAAAAAAATCTGAGGCGGCATTATCTGATCAAATTAACTCATTTTGCCTTATAGTCAGGATGGGTGATCAAATCTTACAGCAATTTGGAATTGTCTTTTGCCCTTATATGATTATTTCATTTTCTTCTAAAAACCCTCAACTTACCTAGTTTACTAGTTTTGCAGGTTCAGGCTTTCCTGCTTCCCAGGATCGGCCTCAATCTCTTTTGGCAGCTTACAATGATATTTGTATACAGGTTGGGCTGTTGTTTACCTGCAGAGCGTTTTAGTGGAGTTCCATTTTAATGTTGTTGAAGCATCAAGAAAGCTCTTGGATCTTTGTACGATGAGGAAAACTTTGACACTTCCATACAAGGTGAAATGGCTGTGAATCATTTGTCATATGTAGATTCTTCAAATGGAATACAGATTGAGTTCTTTGGGATATTGGTAATCGTGCTTTTGTTTTTATCATGCACTACTGTCAAGTTCGTGGATGATTGTTTTGCCACTTCGTGTAGTGATTGTGTTGTGAGCTTATGATCAAAATATTTATTTTATGCTTGTTGTTCAGTGTTTACTCTTTCACCTGTCTGGAACCCTTTACCTCATCAATTATCATTTAAAAGTCAGATGTTTAGAGGGTAGCTTCTGGCCGTCATGATCTAGTCTTAGAAGTGAATTTGGGAGCAAGGGAATCCTGAATAAACGTGGGTTTTAAATCGAGTCCTTCAATGAGGTCTGATTAGTACCCTTTACAATATTTGGAGGCAATACATGTGGTTTTCACATGTTTTATAAAAGAAATCTATTTGTATTAATCCTCTCACTCACCAGTGGCGTTTGGTTTGCATGAAATATTGTTCTAATTTTCCCCTGTACTTGTCTAAAACATTTTAGGAAAATTGTAAGATATTTTATGGTTAACCTATACCGTTTAGTGTATTTTGTTGAAAAATATTTTTAGTTCATAATATATTTTACCACAATCACACGACCCTACCTGCCACAACATTTGTCATCGCCAGCATTTGTATCTTTTGCCACCGTCTGTGTATTTTGTGCAAAATAAATGCCCTAGTCTCGTATGCATATCCTTCTACAAATAGAAAACAAAGCCCCATTAATCTAGTTTTACAGATAAGGTCATACATGCAGTCGAGTTTGCACATCCTTCTACCCGGAGAACAAAGTCGGGCGAAGGAATCATCCTCTTCCTGGTCCACATCTCCCCAAGTGTCATGATAATCATTGATGCTATCTTTGCCTCTCATCTTTATCTCCTTCAACCTTTTCAAATCATATCCTCCACTGCTTCTTTTGGGGTTTCACCTGATACTCGTACTCAAAAATTATATATATAAAAAAAAACTTTCCTTTTCTCTTTGCTAAGCTTCTGAACATGAGATTTCCTCAGAGGTTTGAATGGTGGGAGCTGGTCCTATCCATCCTCATCTTCTCCGTCTGAATCAAAGGGATCAACTTGGTCAATGTCTGAATCACTGTATTTGAAATCCCATCATTCAAAAACCTATAGCAAATATCATTTACTTGAAAGATCTAATGCTGCATCAAATTCCCAATTCATTCCGATCTACAAAATCCTAATCAAATCTTTTGCAACTGTGATACAAATGAATCTTTTCACCACCAGTCTAAAACAGAAACCAAACCGTTCACTCACCATCCAACATGAGCGGCACCAGCAGGAGCAGCGGCAGAGAAGGCATCGCCACCGAGGAAAGACAAGAAACCAGCATTAGCAGGCTCTTGGTCATCAAGAAACAAATCATCAGGAACCCTAAACGCACCATGAGCATAAAGAAGAGCAAACCCAACCATTAAAGCGGAGATGAAGAGCATCCTGTGCTTGTCAAGAAAATAACAACAATCGTCTAAACAAGAAGAATCCCTAACATTTCAGAGTCCGAGGATGTACGACCAACAATAACCAACGGCTGATCTGATGGTCTAAAGGGATAGAGGGGGCCGGGTCGGAGATTGGGATAGGAGGAGGGGGATAAATGATGTCGTTTTGTCTCTCATTGTTATGTATGGGGTTCAGTGGTTATTTTATTATATTTGAATTATTATTTTTATTTAAGTTGTAAACTGTAAATTTTTTAAAATTTATTAGATAAATATAATTTTAACTAAACTATAAAATAAAAATATTTTATTTATTTAAGGTTAGAACCGTGCTACATTGATGTCAATAAAATCTATTGATCGTCGGCGCAACATCACTAAAATGTTTTAGGGTTTTAAAGGTTTAGAGTTTTTGGGTTTTAGATTTTAAGGGTCAGGTATAGAAATTTAGAATTTAGAGTTTTAGGTTCTATTGTTTAGGGTTTTGAGGATTGTGAGAGTTTAGGGTTTAGAGTTTTAGAGTTTTTTTAGAATTTAGGGTTTTTGTATTTTAAGGTTTTTAGGGTTTAGTTTTTTGGGTTTAGAGTTTCATGGTTTTGAGGGTTTAGGGTTTATGATTTTGGTTTTTAGAGTTTAGGATTTTAAAGGTTTGGGGTTTTTGGGTTTTAGGTTTTAAGATTTAGGTTTGGGGGTTTAGGGTTAGGTTTTAGATTTTAAGGTTTTACGGTTTTGAGAGTTTGGGGTTTATGGTTTTAGGATTTTTAGGGTTTAGAATTTTTAGGGTTTACTATTTAAGGTTTTAGGGTTTAGGGTTTTTAAGGTTTAGAGTTTTTGTGTTTAGGGTTTCATGGTTTTGAGGGTCTAGGGTTTATGGTTTCGGCTTTTAGGGTTTAGAGTTTAGGATTTTGTGGTTTAAAAGGTTTAGGGTTTTATGTTTTAAAGTATAGGTTTGGGGATTTAGGGTGTCACCCGTATGCAACGTCGCGGCGAACTTCCACTATCCATGAAAAATAAAAATGTGGTGTATCTTTGGCAAATATGAAAAGACAAGGAATTCTTGTGTCTCTTATCAGTTCAATACAAGCCCTCCTCAATAAGGAGGTTCTTATCTTAAAATGCAGTTAAACGTAATTGTTCTATTATCCAAAAAATAAATTAAAAATCTAAAATACGCATTACGTGTAATGTCATACCCCGGATACTAAGCGACAAACAAAATAAATTTTTCCTTGTTTTTGAAATTTTAGCCAATGTTCTCTTGACATTAACAAACCGGTTATTAAAGTCAAAATGCATGCTAAAATATTGTTTTTGTTGTATGAAAAATACAATATGATTTTTTTAGCTTTGAGACATTTGACCATATGCACAAAAATATTTTTTTGTTTTTTTTTCAATTTTTTATATTTTTTTAAAAGTTTTGATGAAAACCGGGTATTTTAATACCGGACTTGTATTTTTATGATGTATTTATTTGGAATGGGTCAGCACGGTCCAACATAAAAAAAACTTGATGGGCCAGCACCGGCCCAACATACAACAAAATAGTCCAGTACCGGCCAGACATGAAAATGGGTCGACACTAGCCCAACATGAAACGGGCCTGTTTCGGCTCGACATAAAATGAAATGGACTGGCACTAGCCCAAAACAAAATAAAACGAGTTGGCTTCAGCCCAAAACAAAATGGAACGGCCTGGCTTCGGCCCAAAACAAAATGGAACGGGCCTGCTCAGGCCCAAAACAAAATGGAACGGAACTAGCCCAACATGCAAAATGGGCCAAGGCTGGCCCATTACAATGATAATTGGTTGTAGAATGTGAATTGCTCACGTTCTGCATGCCAATAAAAGAAAAAGAGAAACTGGAGCAGAGAAGGAAGAAAACTTACCCGGCGAGAGGAAACGTGGTTATTGTTGTCGTCAGCAGCTCGCGGTGGTGGAGACGGTGGCAGGCGATGCTCCTTCTTCTTCTTCCTCACTGTACAGAGGCGAGATCCTTTGTTTTTTTTTTGTTTTCTTTTCTTTTCTTCTGTTCTTTTCCCTCTTCTCTATTCTATTCTCTCTTCTGTTTTGACTCTTTCTCATACATCTATCCCTCCTTTCTTTCCTTTCATTCTCGGTCCCCTCCTCCTCTCTCAATTTCTTTTTTTTTTTCAGTCCCCTTCCCCTGTTTTCAAAGGCAAAAACAGGTTAGGGAAATGTGGCTGGGCCGGCCACTGTGCTGCCCCCCCTCCACCGCCTCTTCAACACGTGGAAAGGGTGGCAAGTCGGCATCTTTTTAACGTTATTAAGGGGAGGGAAGTCAATGAGAAACATAGGAGAAAAACAAAATTTTCTTCCCCTATTCTCTGTGTGTTTAGGGGAAGAAGATGATGGTGTCGTTCAAAACGGCACCATTTTGAGTTTTTTTTTAACAGTGAATGAAACGGCGCTGTTTCATTTAAATGCAAAGACGACAAAACCGTATCTATTTTCATATTGGTCATCAATTTATAATTTTTTCAATCAAGTCCTAAATTGCAATTTTGATTTAAAAATTAATGTAATTGCATCCGTGCTAAAATCCAACAGCGGCCCTAAAGTTGGTCACCTTTTTCACTTTAATCCTTGGTTGACCCTCAATTGAGTAATAAACTTCTAATTTCTTCAATTGGGCCCTTGACCGGTTTAATTTCAACCCCTTTACTTACGCATCTTTTTCATTTTGATCCCTGGTTTCGGATTTCTTTAATTAAGTCTCTAATTAGCCATCAAACTTCAATATTTATGCAATTAAGCCCCTGATTTGACCAAATTAACTTCCAAAAAGTATAATTTGACCCTATAACTTTAATTGCTTCTAATTAAAGCCTGAATTAACTCCAAAATCATTTTTTCTTGCAATCAAATTCTTCATAAATTCAATTAAACCTTCAATAAAATTTAATGGAGTCCATAAACATCTGATTTTGGGCTTTTCTTACTAAAATTGAATTTTCTTTGTCAATGGGGTCAGTCAATAAAATACTGTCAAATTTTTATTTTTATATTTTTAAACTCCTCAACCAAATTTTACCCATTTTTAGGATGCGCTGACATCATTTTTTCACTATTCATATTTTTGATAATATTTTTTGATTTTTTTGTATTTTATTATTTTTCATACGGGGGGGGCCTAAACCCTAAACACTAAAAACTCTAAATTTTTTTTTTTGGATTCAAGGAAACCCCACACCCTGAAAAGCGCACTTTGTGGGCTAAGATGAGCGAGTAAAACTCTAGATGTCCCAAACTCCTACAAGAGGTGCACGCCCTGACTTAAACTCGAGACCTGCTGTATAGATCTCAAGCCCTTTACCATCATGTTATGCCCCTTCGGGATGCTAAACCATAAACCCTTTAAAACCCTGAACCCTAAATACTAAAAACTCTAAAACTTTCAAACATCAAACCCTAAACCCTAAAATCCTAAAACCCTAAACACTAAAAAAGCTAAAACCCTCAAATCCTAAACCTTTTAAAACCCTAAAACCTAAAACTTAAAACGCTGAACCCTTAAAACCCTAAAACTCTAAACTATAAACTCTAAACCCTCAAAATCATCAATAACCCTAAAACCTAAAACCTAAAATTCCAAAACCCTAAACACAAAAAAACTCTAAAACTCTCTAACGCTAAATCCTAAACCTTTTAAAACCCTAAACACAAATCCCCCCTAAAACCC